TGGGTAGAGGTGATATCACATCTTTTATTAGACCAAGTGGATTTTTGCAGAAAAAAACCCCTCTTTTTTGTGCAAAAATCTAGTTGGTCTAATAAAAGATATCACCAGTACCATGAGTCCTGATTTCTTTAGCTGGAAATTAGGAAGACAAAGGGTAAAAAAGGAGGGGAGGGGAGGCAGGGTTGGGGAAAGAAAGTGTAAAAGGTCAAGTCTGGCAGGCACCTGGTGAATCAAATGTCAGACAGGTTGCAATGTGTCATAAATTCAATGTCTATATTGAATCTATGATTTTCTGTATCCAGTAGCTACAACCAAAAACCCAGCAGATGGTGAGCAAATCATCCCTGATCTGCGGAAACTGTGCTGTGTGGGTCTGGGATCCAACTGAAGGCCTTGAGAGGGTGTTGGCTTAGCAGGGATCTCACCAGGGCTGGAGGGGTCTTCGCCTAGGGGCAGCTTAGGAATCCCTCCCTCATTCTCCCTGTCTCTCTCCCCATCGCAGAACAATTCGTGGAGAAATCCTCCTGTGCCCAGCCCCTGGGTGACCTGTCCAGCTTGGACCCCCACGGGGACTTCAGCACCAGCCCAGCGTCCCTCTGCACGGAGCCTCTCATCCCCACCACCCCCATCATCCCCAGTGAGGAGATGGCCAAGATCTCCTGCAGCCTCGAGACCAAGGAGCTGTGGGACAAGTTCCATGAGCTGGGCACCGAGATGATCATCACCAAGTCTGGCCGGTGAGGCTGGGGCTGGGGTTGGGGCTGGGGGGTGATGTGTTCCTGCTAGATCCTGTGCAAGCAGCTTGCCAAGGCAATTCAGGGCATGAAAATACTGTGATAGACCAGCTCCTCTCCCCAAGCTCATCAGAGCTCACCCCAATGTGTATTTGAGGCATCAGGCATCTGGGAAGAGACTCAAAGTCAAGCCCTTATTAGTGCAGGAGCCTGAGGCTCTACCCCTGTGACAGACAGGCAGGCAGACACACAGGATCCTCTCCACCTCCCCCTCTGCTGCAGATCATAGCTCAAAGTCATTCCCCACAACTGGTCCAGCTTTGCTGATTCTCTAACTGGGTCACAGTTAAAGGCAGGGGGACTTTTCCAGGCCCCAAGCCTCCAAGCATTTCCAAAAGTTTTAAAATACTGTTTTAATTGAACCCCTGCCCCCACCCCTGAAGGAGATCACAGCCAGAAGCCACTAGTTCTGTA